TCCGAATCCGGACTAATTCCAGCAATGTTATAACCGGTTTTCGATATCGAGTCTCCGAATCCATTTAAGAAGAATCCGGAACGAGTAAAGTTACAAAAAGCGAGGAAATTCCAGCGGAAAGTTGTATTAAATCCTCGTATTTTGCATGTCCCAGGGAGGACGGGCCGATTTTTCTATCGACGATTAATGAGCTAACTTCTCGGATTAATTCAATATCTAAAGTTCCAGATTAATAATACGGAGAAGTTGGTAATGTACCTATATTGTAACAGATACAGCAAGAGATTATTGACGTGGCAAATTAAACCGAACACACACAATATCGATCGTGATGTTTGAACTCGCTTCAAATATTGTGAAAAAGCTGAACCGCAACCCTGTTTACAAGCCATCCTTTCACCGAGGTAACAGTGTCCATATTTTTGCCACATTCTGGGACATAAATCTCGCCGATATCGTGCCGAATTGATATTCGATGGGACTAACGATGGTCGCCCGCCATTTTTCGTTATTAAATAGCGATTTGGAAAGTCACGTTGCCAATTAAGGGCCGCGATCTATGCGCTCGTCTAGGGAGATATGACGCAAAGTTAAGTAATTTACAGTGTAGAAGGTGCATTAGAAAAAGAAGAGTGCGATGTTGATAGGGCAGCACGGTTTTGAAATGTTACTGCTTTTACCTGAAACAACGATAAGTAGTAAACATTGATGCTTTTAAATCTTGCCAAAGCTGGGGATTTTTTGGTTTTATACCAAATTCCCAATAAAAATTTTTCATCGATTAAATAAAATTGCTCGTAAATCACACTCTATTTATTATTGGAGGCTGGGGCAAAAGTATGATATTATCTATTGTGGTCGGGTTACATTTCTACGAAATTTATTGCAGTTTTTATAAACCTAGTTTATACCAGTTATAATATTCAAGATGTAATTGCAAATACCTTTCTAATGAAAGTGACTTGTAACTTTAAGCTGAAGTTGATTATACTGAAAAATAGAGAATTGCCATCTTATAATTTCAAAGATTCTGGCCATTTTGATCATACATTTAATTGAATCCATAGCACTAAAATGTATTCCAAACCTATTTCTAGTACGTTTTTATTTTATTAAATAGTAATAAATGTAGCATTTAGAAACAAGGTTTGAATTTCATAAATAAATTATCCCCGTTTAAAATTAACTATTTGTTTTCTGATTTAAATTTTAAATTAAAAGCTTTGTACTGTGGGAATCCTAATTTTATGAATTATAAAATTATAATTGCATACACTGGAACCGACCTTCATTATGTACAAATTAATAAAAAACTGTTTTTAAAATAACAAGTTATTTAAAACAAGAAGTTATTTTACAATTTTGTGGTGGAATAAATAGAACAAGACAACACCTTTTCTCAAGGAAAGTAGCTGGAAATGGTTTTCTTCATTACGTTCGCTTTATTTTGTTAAGCTCTACTTTCTTCGGCTTCATTCCCAACATACGAGCAGTTGTGTAAAAACTGCTAATACTTCTGAAATTTTTTAACTAAATTGGCATCGCGGCGCCACTGGTAAACACCGGAAAACTTTTTAGTCCAACTTTCTCTATTATCCTTTTTATAAATTGTCCGTTTAAAAGTTAGTAAAGGCGTGACCCAATTTTATCTAAAAACCGACAAATAAAAGTATAAATTTTTACATCTATGCAGTTATAAAAATCTGGACTAATCCCGATTTATTTTAATAAAATACCCGAGTTTGTGACCCGTTATAAACATATTAAAGTGGATTTAATTCTGCGAGACAAATTTATTTACGTGTGAAATATAAATTCCGTAATTCCGGGTAAATCCCACTTTGTAACTAATCGTGAATTTAAAGAATGTCGATTAGCTACGGCGAAAGGGCGTCAATAGGGATCGTGTCGATTGCCACAGCTGGTGTTTTTTTTATTTATTTATTTTAATCGGAAAAAGGCTCTCCGGATGATTAATCGTAGCGGTTTTATCGCATCGCTGGACTACTCCGGGCCCGATAGTGTCATCAATCGGCTACCAACTTTTAATAAAATAAAAATAATATCTGAGACGTAAAATATTTACGGGGTCATAAAAGCGTCCCGGTTGGGAATTTGAGTCACATATTCCGGAAAGAGTCGTAAATATCGGGGCGCATTTCCCAGAATTATGTCTCAGGTTCATTTGTAAAAAATTAACCGGTCTTGTGATTCGGAAAAAAACACAAAGAGATTAATTTCTTTTGAAACAATTCCGCTTCGTCTCTTTCGAACGCAATCTGGAAATGTTTTAAACTAAATTAGAAACTGTTTCTGGCCTATTAAGTCCAGGTCAGTTATCCTTTGATGACGGAAGAGTTTTTGTGGTGGCGTGTGTCTTAGGGTCCCTCCCGTCTTAAACTCCGGATTGACGGACTTTGTGTTCTTTGACAATTAAACCGATGTCATTTCAGTCACGAATCYTAGACTCCGAGCTAAATAAAGCAACATTCCGGAGTTGGCAGAGTTGCGATACCTGGAGTTCTTTGTCCTACAATGATAATAAATAAGCTTCGTGCAAACTGAACGCACCTGAATTAATTAATTGGGAGAGGCACGATGATTTTTACAAAAACACAACAATAGATTGGACTAATAATTGAAATGCGACGGAAATAAAACATTGCGGATGTTTCTCGGATCGATACCGATGTGAAATCCTTCCAAAAGCAATAAATAAGTATATGACGGTTCGATTAATTAGACTTTGATTCGCCGATCAGAATTGGTACGTGTCGAAACTAAGCTACTTGACGTTTTTTCTCTTTTCGGACAATGATGGATACGAAAAGTTTAATTTTTTAATTTCACGTGGAACGGTTTCGATTAGAGGGGTTAATGGATGGAAAAGCGATCGATGATCGGGGTTGTGGTACTTGTTTAAGGGTCGTGCGGTTTTTGTTACAACCAAATTGATTAGGTCGGGACTTGTGCAGTTTGATGCAATATTGCAATCGGGGAATAGTTTTTGACGGCTCAATTTCGACGAGATTGGTGGCTGCGTCATCGAATTTCGAACGCTTTTGCACATTTTTCGCTCGGATTTCAAGCTGCTTCACGAACGAAACCGATAAAAATAGATCTGACACGAAACTACGAAAAAATGCCAACTTGCGAACTAATTTTATTGAAAATTGCATGACCCTATGGAAGAACCAATCTGAATTTAGTATTTAATATGATTACCATAAGTATTTAATATGATTACCATAGCAATACAAAAATTTTCCGGAAATTTTTTGACTCATTAGCTAAAATTAATAAGTGAAAATTCTTTTGACACAAAAACCAACTTCAATATTTAGTAAAACTTTATTTTAAATATCAAAAACTAAGACTTACTTACTTAAACTCGTGATGTCATGCAGTTTTCACCCGAATACCCCTCGTGCATTGATTGAATCCGGAAATTTTTTCCCGTAATTGTGTAAAATTAATGACGTTTTTGACAATCACTCGAAAAAATTTCCGAAAACAATGAATGTACTCGGGATATTTTAAGTGAATATTATAGGTAATTGCATATAAATAGCTTTCAACTCTTGTTAAAATAGCTTTTTATAAAATTGTTAACGGATAAATCATATTTTATTTGCTGGCTGCGAATAATGATGGCCATCCATTGTAGACAGGATGCACTTTTTATATGAATTTTTTGTTGGTTTTATAAGATTTCAATTTTTGTATTTAATTCATATAAAAGGACAATTATACTAAAATTGGGTGAATGCAGGAATTGATTTAAAAAACTCAAAATTTCTAATATGTATCTAATGAAAAAACTTTGTGTAACAATCATACATGAAAATAAGATTTCGAACAAAGATTACATAATTTGAGACTTTAGGTGACTTTTGTTTGCAGTTTTAAAGTTTTAAAGCTTTAAAATGTTTGTTTTTAGGTTGATATTATTAATCAATAGAGTTTTATCTAAAATTTACACTAGAATCCGGTACTACATCACATATAAAAAGGGAACCGCAATAATAAAAGTAACAAAACCTTTGAATTATTATTGGTTTAAAATTTGTAAAGTATCATACACTTTGAATTCGTTTTATATTTTTACTACCGAACTATTATTTATTATTTATTGATATTTTTTATTAAATATGTGTGTTAAAGTGACAGCACAAGATTTATTACTCATATTTATCTTTTCAAATAAACAAACACGACTTTTCCATTATTCTATTAGCAAAATTATTTTTTTTTAATTTAAAAGCTTCACCTTAACGAGCTTTTAGTTCACTTCATAGTTTCGACATTCTGTGAAAGAATTTCGTTCGAAACCCAAATAACTTTGGCTAGTATCGCGAGTGTCACTTGACACCTCCAAATTTAATAAAGCAGCCTCAATATTTCTTATTTCCGCAACGTTAAAGTCGCATGTTGTTCACGATGAATGACCTTCGAGATTAGATGACGTTGTTTCGAGGGCGCGATTTTTAAAACCGGAATGAAAAAAGCCTCTCGTAACTACAAAGCCAGAACATTAATTCCGATCATGAAGTTCGAAGCGACGAAATTAATAGAAGCTTTTAATTCGGAACGCTGCTACTATTATGCCGTTGTCTCGAAATGCCGCAATTCAATCAAATTGAATTTATATTTGGTTAACCTCCGAATGCGGATAGATTTATGAAAATCGTCTCTTATCCGTTATTTTCGGAAATAAATTACGTCGGAAAGCTTGCCCGAGTTTTTCCGCTTCCGGTGAAGTGTGATCCAGTGCCGAACAAAAATCGACGGGGGGGCTTGTGTAGTTTGGCACTTATTGAAATACTTTCCATCATATCGATATGTTGCCAAGTGAAGCGTGGATAAACACGAGGTGGATATGAGTTTGAAAGATATCGGCTGAAAGCTGCTCTGCTGTAATTGACACGGAGGGTTGCATATCATTGTCGCTATAGTTGTGTCGTGAACTGTACCTTGAATAATTTTTTTTTCTTTTTTAGTGACCAAGTTCATCCGAATTGGAATCGCTGATAAGAATGACAACCCGCCGTATTTCGACAAGGCCCTCTACGAAGCGGAAGTGGACGAAAATGAGGATATTCAACACACCGTTCTCACCGTCACCGCCAAAGATCACGATGAATGTAAGTCTTTCGACTTTATTTATCGCCTCCGTTTGACAGGAAAAGAATTTAACTTTGCTTATTTAGAATTCGTTCGAGCGCTAGTTGCTTTGATAAAATTAAAAACTTGGTCCGCAGATTAAAACGTAAAATTCTTTTTATTATGCGAAAGTTGGAGCAACAGAATTGCAAGGAAATTTAATTTCGTGGCTCGTTGTTATTATGAGTATTGAAAAAATTGTGGATGCGACGCGACATTTCCGTTGTTTCTTTTTTCTTGATTTACAAAGACGAGGTTTTATTAAAAAACCGAATTTAATTCGAATCAAACGTGAAACAAATCAAAATTGGTAATTTTTTTCGGAGATTGGAATTCAGAACAGTCAATTTTCCGACCTTTTTATTTTAATGGCAGCAGAGGATTTCAACCGGGAAAAGGAAATAGGAGGTAGTGATATATTGCAAAGCGGAAGTAGTGGAAATTTTTGCGTATCTCGATTTTTGTGGGGAAAAATGCTCAAGGCGTCCCGAGCAGTTTACACTAAGACGGAAAATGGGAAAAGCAATTATGTAACCACTGAGTTCTTTGAGTTGGATTTATCTTGCTTTGTTTGTTGTTTACATGTTGTAAAAGCTTTACTAGTGTCGAGACAAAGAGACAACAAATGATGGGATTAATTTTTAGTTGCCATATTTGCGCTGATTCCATTTGACATATAAAATTTTTGCAGTAATTGGGATTGGTGAAAATACTTTGTTACAAAAGAGTTATAAAATTTATATCGATATTGGCGCAGATAACATCGAACAAGTTTTTGCTTCTTGATAATTTTTATGCCGGATCCAAAACTTGACCCACCCTGTACATAATTTATAGTTTCAGCTTTTGTACTTATATTTTTTAATGGGTTATTGGTGCTGTAATAATGGCAATAAAGGCCCATTATTATTATTACAATAAGCAATTAAATGTAACGGCACATGAATTTAATTATTATTTATTTAACAATATTAATGAAATTAATACTAAATTGAATTTATTTTAGTTTTGGCCACAAGCCATTTTCATTATATGTATAATAAATAATATTTGCTTGCTGTTTAATGTAAAATTACTAAAACGCAATTTACTGTGACGCCGTATTTGTCGAAAAAAGATAAAACCCGTACTGAAGGAAACGACTTTAGGAAGCGACTAATAAAAACTTTTTTTATTTCAAGTACGAAAGTTTAAACTCAGAACTTGTTATTGAGTTCTGATTAACTAATTAAAGTTGAATTCGGTTTTTGCACGTGTTTAATTTTCATTTATTCGTCGCGATTTAGGCGAAAAAATTATTTAGCCATTCTCGTCCCGCACCTGCCATTTGTTCGAAACACACTGAAATTTTAAAGCAGAGCCGGTACTCCGACCTAAAATCCCTTGTAATTCCCTCGCGAAAGCCCCTCGTTTCCGGCCTTGTTACCTCTCTGTGCTTTACAGCCTTGCGACGCTTAATTCCGGTTCATTTTCATTAAGCAATACGAAAATTCCTCTACATTTGCATTAACACATTGTGGCCGGTTGTAAATTCGTCGTGAATTTTTTAGACGTGATTTTTTGTTCATTTAGAGGAGAAATTCAATTTCGAGGAATGTGCATTAAGTTGTCGTTAAACGTAATGTTACCATTACGAGGTAAATATTATGGGGCGAGGGCTGATCAAGATGCGCATATATGAGGGAGTCGTGTGAAATTCATCGGGAATCCTGAGCAGCTTAAGGATTTGCACAATCATCAATCTGAGGGTTTGTGAGGCAACAGAGAGGAATTGTGGAGGTAAACAGTAATTAAATGAGGTTTTTTCGTGACCTTGGAGGCAAAGATAAATTTAATTTACGGAATAAGAGGGGGTTATGACTGGATTCGGCTTATCTAGGATGAATATTTGTTTGTTTTGTGCTTTTACCCATAACGTAATTTGCACTCGGTTTAAGCCTGAAATGTAGTGAGAATTTATATCTAATATATTTAAGAATGAAGTTACGAGTTAATTTCATTTAAATGGGAGTATTTTTTGAGAAAAATTAGTTTATCATATGCTTTAAACAATCAAAGCAACAAGTTAGATTGTTATTTAAATAGATATATAAAATATGTTTTGAAAAATACATATAAACAAATTTTTTTTTTGTGTTTGCGAAAAGAATCAAAATTCGAGCTTTCAATATAACTTGATGATACATAAAATTTTAACAGCTTTACCGATTTTATTACCGCAACACTTAATTATTGAGACTTTTATTTCTAAAAGCTCCAACAACTGAAATCTGATTTTTATTAGAGGTGAGTACCTATGCATTTGAAACAAGGCTTTTACTTTATAACAAAAAAATGATGTTCTCGAGAGATCAAAAACTGTATATTGCACGAATGAATTATCAATGAACAAAAGTATACAAAAGAGCACTTTTGAGAAAAACACATTTCATCTTCTTAAACAATTTGCACTCTGTAAAAGTTTGTTTAATATGAAAATAAGTTCTACAGAGTAATTCTTCCTTTTTTTTAGTTGGGCAGGAAAACTTCAAACTTAATTACCAATCAAGTGATTTAAAATAGTTAAAAGCTTCGCATAATTGCACTAAACAAAGAAAACAAAAACAAATGTTGGTGCGGCGTAAACGCTTCTTACATTATTACGAAAGCAAAATTTTTATTAATTTCAAAACCTTCATAAATAGTTTTGAACTTTTATTAAAATCGAATTTTTAACAAGTCATAGATTTCTTACTATTTTATCAATTTTTCTTTGATGCTTTGTGTCGGACTTTTAGTTTGTAGTGTCTTCAACTTTTTCAACGTTAAAACAGTTTGAAACTGTTCTTCGCCCGCGTTTTGGTAAAAAACTCTCGATATAAATCTAGCATAAACCGTTTCGACTGTAGCACATAAAATTTCGTGCTCGCAACCGACAAAGCAGCTTTACAATATGACAGTAGGTTGAATTTAAACTCAAAAATATAACATTCTCTTTTATACCAGATACACTTTTAAGACAACCGAGATAAAAATGTTACGAGTAAAATAATAATAACGACACGCTACAAACCTGTAAAACTCGCATTGAATTTTTTATGCATCCGATTATCAACGTTAATTTCGTTTTTGTTGTCGTCGTAAACTCCCCTTCAATTAGAAAAATTCCGTTTCGAGTTAAAGCCTCTGTTCTGTTTACGTCTCCTGTCCTGTCAGATGGATAATTCGTTTTATTGGCACAACATTGTCGAAACTTTCTCTCCGTCTCGATCAGTGACAGCATTACAATAATCTTTTTTTATTTCCGTTTGTGCGAAATTCGTCGCAACGAACTTCCTTGCCGATGCACGACACGCGATTCCGACGACACGTGCCAAAATTTACCAACTCTTGAGAGTCGAACGGACGTGCAAGAACTTGATTTAGGTGCAGTCGATCGACACTCTTTCTCCAAAATTTATTATTATGAACACTGTTTAGTACCGGATTTGCAGCGTTACGTTGATGGATCGTAAACACGGCGAATAAAAGACACTACACTTAATCGCTTTGTTACATTCTTTACATGAGAGCTTTACAAGCGATGTGTCGCTGGGTTAGAGWGCCTGCGGCTTTAACGATTTTTTAACGACAAGCTGACGGCAAATTTGTTGTACATCTCCCATAAAAGACGAGTCTTCAACTACTAAACAAAGTTAAAAGTTGATCAAATTCAAACAAAATACAATAACAACGATATTTGGCGCTTGTTATTCATGTTCATTAAAAATTAAAGGAATAATAATAATTCCTCTAAAAATTGTCGTTTCTAGATTTAAAAAAAACTATTTGAAAGCTTTAAGTTTCTAGTTTTGAAATCTTATGGCAAAATTTTTTTCTGTGCTACGGTTACCACACAATCCTAAGTAATATCGTGAGGAAAAAATCTAAATTTTTTTGTTTTTATTTTGGGTCCACGGACGTCAGGATTTTTTTTTTTAGTTACTTTTATAGTCAATGCATAGGCCAGATAGCATGTTCGTTCACCTTTAATACGTTTTTTCATATTCTCTTTACGTCAATTTGTCGCTAAGATATCTAAATGAAAAAGGATCCTCAATACCTCAACAACCAATGGACAGAATACGTATAATAAGAATAGTGTTAAAAACTGGGATAAATGTTTTACCCTTTTATAATTTTTTGATTTTTTTTAAATCTCAATATTGATTTAAAGGAAAGAGAAAAATAGTTATTTATATATCAAGTACGCAAAATGGGGTTTTAGGGGACGAATCGTAATGACGAGGCGACGTAGGAGTCACTTAAAATCTTTTGCGTACGTGGTGCATACAAGATTTTTTTGTTAAAGCTCCCAAAAGACGAATTCACACCTCTTACTAATTAAAAAAAAAATCCTTATACTCTCTCCTGTAGTCGTCATTGGTTACTGAGATATCGGTGATCAAAGACAAAAGGATCTTTTTTCATTTAAAGTCAGACATCTCAGCGACAAACTGACGTAAAGAGAATATGAAAAAATCGTATTAAAAGTGAACGAACATGCTATCTAGCATATGCATTGACTTAACTAAAAAAAAATTCCCGATCTCCATGGACCAAAAACAAAAGAAAAAGAAAATTTAGATTTTATTTTCTCACGACGTTTCTTAAAAGTTTTATCAAAAGATTTTAAAACTAGAAACTTAAAGCTTCAAAACAGTTTTTTTTTAATCTAAATACGACCATTTTTAGATGAATTACAGCCTTTGGAAAATCACCAAAAATTTAGTAAAAATTTTTGTTCCTTTAATTTTTTGGAGTAGTGTATTCTGTTTTTTTTTTATAATATAATGCAATTTTTGTTTGTTTTGCTTAAAAAATTTTTGACGAATGGTAATGTTTCGAAACTCGAATAAATTGCCTAAACTAAGTGGAAAATTGATGAAATGCTAGAAAATAAAAGTGGCGTCTTGTCATGGTGTAAATCCGGATTTGGCGGGCGCGTGACAGCCCTCGCGCG